ACCCCACCGCAGCAAAACTGAAACCGTCTCATGAACCTACATTCCCTATCTGCACTCCCTATGCACACCCCCTGTACTCACTCTATCTACTACTATGCACAATTAAAAACTGTACTCACACTAAAATTACACTTCTTCAAGTGTCTTGTCTTCTATAAATCTCCAAAAAAAAAAAAAGAAAAAAAAAAAGGGGGGGCTTTCACAGAAAGAATGCTGAAAATCTAACTTCTGGCAGCTTCCCTTGAGGCTGAGTCACTGTCAGCAGTTCCGTGAATGCTCCCCATCTACTTATAAACAGTTTGAGGGACTTCGCAGAGTATCCTTTTTTTTGCACTTTATATTCCCAGTCTGCCAAAATCGCTTGTTTTATTCCAAGCTTGACCTCCGCTCTAACCATCGGTGGGGTGAAGTGTTCCCCTCTTCTCAGCACTGAGTTTCGCAGTGTCCATAGGGTCCAAAGTATAGCTCCTCTCATTGTCTCCTCAGCATAGCACAGTCGGTCTTCCCGCTGGGATCTTCGAGCGACTGTCCCCATGAGTACAAAGTGGTCTGTCCACCGAGTACGGGGTCCCGGAACCGGCACTGAACCACCCCTCCACCAAGCCCAAAAGGGTTGGTAGAGGTCACAAAGAAGGGCAAAGTGCTGCAAATCTTCCACTCTCGTCCCCGGGCATATTTCACATCTTGGGTCCGCTTTTGAAGTTCGTCTGGAGCACCAGGCTGCCACTGGAATTGCCTGGTGCATTATCAACCACAGGAGGCTCGCATGCTTTACAACTGCCAAATCCATTAATATTTTCCAGAAATGTGGTAATGCTTGCACTATGCGCAGCAGCGAGTCTTGTATCCAATTTGTGTTCATCCATCTGTTGGCCACCTTCCMGTTAATGTCGATCTCCGGTGTCGCCAGCTGGTACCCCAATTTAGTCGAGTACTGGTGCATCGGTATCAATTGATGTCTCTGCTTCGGGTTCTTCCATGCCCAGTTTTTCGGGTCCACAGACAATTGGTATGCAGGGAGGGACAGGCAATATGGTCTATAGCTGTCGCTGTACTCCAACACACAGACTGGGGTCAGGTTTGCGAGAGGGGGGATCGGTAACTGTTGTGGAGCAAGAGTAAGTTCGCCCCCCATCTCTGTTCTTCCTCCATGGGTCTCCCAACAGGAGAACGGAGTGTCAGCCACTGGTGAATACTCCTCCTTCTTCCAAACAAGTAATGGCTTTTGTTCATCGTGAATCTTATACCACATGCGTTTCTCGTATTGGAGCCCTCTTCGTAGTATGTCCATCCATTCCTGCGGCACCGCCTGTTGAAGCAGGGATAGATGTTGTCTTTGGTGCCACAGGCCAATCAGAGCCGGGGCAAGTTCTGAGAGAGGTTTCCAATTCGTACTTTGGACATCCCATATATCTGCAAGTGTTCCTATCCCTTGTGACATCCAGGCATCCCCAAATGCTCCGGGTCCAAAGAGATGAAACAGTTCCCCATTCTGAGACAAAATAGCCGGGTTCAAAAAGGGGTCATCCCCCTTTTTTTTGAAAAAAAAGAAGAAGAAAATGTATGACAGCTCTTGAACCCTTTCATCGTTTATTAAAAAAAAAAAAGTAGATGTGCAGTCACTGCAGTGTGATAGATACTTCTTTGATTGTTCATTTACCTTCGGGGGTATCGTGTTGGGGATTTTTATTTTTTTTTATGTTGCCTAAAATGACTCTTTTGGGGATTTTTTTTTTTTTTTTTTTTTTTTTTTTTTTTTTTTTTTTTTTTTTTTTTTTTTTTTTTTTTTTTTTTTTTTTTTTTTTTGCTTAGAACGGCTCTTTTGGCAGTTGTGAGGAACGAGCCCCCAAGTGGCCCTATCAGACATCTTATTGTTCTGGGCTAAGGCCCCAGCAAGCCAAGTGCCCGCCCTAAGTGAAGACGGGCCTGAATATTCGAGTGCGACCAAACTCGCATTTCTCTGAGTTTATCTTATACTTGTGCTGCCGAAGGAGTGAAAGTACTGTGTCTACATGCTGAGCATGCTCCTCGACAGATCTACTGAAGTAAGTATGTCGTCGAGGTACACGACAAAAAACTTATCCAAGTAGTCATGGAAGATCCTATTCATGGCATGCTGGAATGTACCCGGCACATTGCAAAGGCCAAAGGGCATCACCACAAACTCGTACAGACCGTACCTGGTTTGAAATGCGGTTTTGTGCTGGTCCTCTGGTCTAATGGCAATCTGATGGTAGCAGGATTTTAAGTCTATCTTTGTGTAGTACTTACATCCCTGCACCCTATCCAATAGGTCGTCGATGCGTGGTAGAGGCTCTACGTTCTTAACGGTGATGGCATTGAGGCCTCTATAGTCAATGCATATCCTTAGTGTTCCCCTTTCTTTGGAACAAACAATACTAGCCAAAGGGGGAAGTGCTAAGCCGAATCCAACCCTTCTCTGTGATCTCTTTCAGTTGCCGCCGAAGTTCATCCAACTCGACTTGACACACCATGGGACTGGACCGACGAGTGTGAGGCAGCCATAGCCGAGCTGCTGGGCGCCAGGGGGTACAGCGGATGATCGGGTGGTCTTTAGGGAGTGAGGCGCTGTGTGGGATGATCAAGGTCTGATTGAGGGTGATGAGATACGTACCTGGTACATGAAGAGAGGTCGCCGATGGTGTGGACAGTCATGTCCATTGGTGTTCGTGAGCCGAAGTGATCCTGTTGCGTGAACCAACTGTAGAGTAGGATAGTGTGGTAGAGTAGGCTGGGCGCTGTGCGCCAGACAGAGAGAGTGACTCTGGATACTGTGTTGGTGTGGCCTACGGGCTTGGACATTGGCTCAATACTTCATTGTATTGCTCTTTATGGATGGTTTTCTCGGTGCATTTGTACTCTCTACTTGGGATACTACTACTTGCTCAGCTGTGTGATTTCGCAACTTGGTTTAATGTATATCGCTCACACTCATATTCCTTGCACATTTAAGTTTTTTTTTCAATTAACATGCGTTTCCTTTGAATTTGAAGGTTGTGCGCGAAATTGAAAAAAACACAAAGTCTGAAATATTCCCCCCAATATACGGCCAAAAAAAAAAAAGAACCTGGATGTGTTTTGCACAACGATGCAGAAAAGCAGATAGATCACTATTCCGGCTTTGCTTGTGGGACCAGGCTACCTCGCCCTAGCAGACTTTTGCGACGAAATTGACCACTACCAACGCACCCTCAGTTTTTGGCTGCACCGGACCTGAAAGATAGCTTGTATACACTCGTCATTGGGGTGGGTTATGTTCAGGGGGAAGAGGGTTGAAGCATACTTCCGTTCCGTTGACCATGAACTGTCGAAATACAGACCTGAGTTCGATCCAGATGGGAAAATATTTTTGAAATGCCCCTGAAGTTTGCATTTATTTGGGATTTGCCCCTCCGACGACCGACTTACCCTGATTTGCCCCTCTGACAGTGATTCAAGTTTCCCAAAAACCGCTGGCATCGTTTGGGCCTGAGACATTTTCAATATGCCCCTACCAGTACCGGTGCCAAATTTCCAGTTTGCCCCTACCGGATAGCCGTTCAGTACAGGCACAATAATTTTCCATATGCCCCTCCCTACCGGTACTGTGCATCTTTTCGGTATGCCCTTCTGGCCGTTGTTGGCAGTAGCCGCTGTTCCCCTGGCCCTGGGACGAGTGCTATCAGGGGACTCTTTTTTTTTTTTTTGGGTGTGCGCGCGCGCGCGTGTGTGTGTGTGTGTGTGTGTGTGTGTGTGTGTGTGTGT